GACAGTGTCTGCTGTGGTGAGGCCTGCAGGGAGCAGCTTCAGGAATACAGTAAATCCTGACGAGCTTATTAATTACCTGCTATTTAACGTCTACAACCTCTATCGCTATCGCAGTCAGCTCTAATTTGAATTTCTATTCTGGACTTTGTTTTTCCAATTAAGCAATGTGCACATCCTCACAAGCTCCTCTCCCTACTCTTTGTCATATCTGCGAGTCTGATAAGAATTTATTTAGTTTTTTTTCCTTTTCTTTTTTTTTGCAATCATCAGCTTCCCTGTTAGTCCTGCACAAAACCAGCATTGTTACTGCTGCGTTTACTTCTGCAGTGTAACGTGTGAGGAAGCCTGTCTGCTGCAGCCTCTTTGTTTCGGTGCCTAATTAGCACTCAAATTGCATTGCTTAGAAAGAATGTGGGAGTTAACCAGCGCTTGGTCACACAAGGTGTGCTGAAGCAGACGAGCAAAATGGAAGAAACAGTTACTAATGGGGAAACTGAAGACAGAAAGGGAGACGGAAGCACAAAGGAGGGAAATGGGAAAGTGGCAAGTGAAGGATGAAGGACTGGTGTGGCAAGCATGAACAAAATGATGAACCTGGGAGGCTTGAACAACAGGAGACTGAACAGAAAAAGGTGATGACGTGACAGGCATGAAATGTGCTTTAACACATGATGAGGGCGAGGATCCATGCTGCTCAGATAGGATAGAATTAATGGAACAAAAGCCTGATATGTAAAAATGGTCACAGACACATGACTGTGCAAAGGAGCTAATTTTTTTTATCTTATAAAAGCACCAAACATTACAGAAATAAAATCAGCAGAGTGGAGGAGTGCAGACTATTTCAAATCAAATGTGCAACTCGTACTTTACTAAATATGTCATTTGAAATACCACGTGTAAGTGAAAGAAGATGGAACACAGGTGCCCATGGATGCTGTGACCTGTGAGAATTGACATCACCAATAATCACTTCATTGGGGCTTGTGGTATCGAACCAGCACCTGAAGAATGGCATAAACAATATTGTGCATTGTGATAACGAGGCCAGGAACTGACAGCAGTCTACTCTACAGAGTCATGATTTAATATGCTAGGACACACAGATGCACTTGTTAGTTCTTCAGTCCATGTCTGTGAATCATACAGTAAAGGTAAAGATATATATACCTATACAGTATATATTATGAGAAAAATTTCTGTTGGAACTCAAACAGTGGTTTTTATGTATTTGAATTAATGATAATAAGAATATAATTTTTTTTTCATTGCCTGCTGTAAATGCTCGTGGATTTGTTCTACCAGTTGATCATTGTTGAGTTAATTTATGATTACAGATTATGTTTGGTCTGTGTTTTTACAAGAACAGTCTGAGCACAGACAGAAATGGCAGATGTTGGTCACGTCTGTACAAAAATAGGAGCATACTGTATGTCTCATGTATGTATGTATTAGCTGAAATGTTATGATATGATGTAATGTAAATATATACATTTGTTTTTTACTCTGTGATGTCTAATATAAGGTGTAAAACAGAGAAATATTGTATTTTAACATTTTTTACATTTTTGACAAACATCGATTTCATCTGAACACTATAGAAAAATCCTGTGTATGAATATTGGCAGACCGTCCCCTAAAGAGGCCCACCGTGCTTCTTTTGGCGGCCACCAGGCAGAGAAAAGAAGCAAATCACTGGTGGTGGTGAGATCACTTTTCGGAGGTGGAGGGGGGGGGGGGGGTAGTGCAGTGTAGCATTTGCATATTGAAAAGACTCAAATGCTGAGAGACAGACAATGTTCTCCTCACTGAACGCAGTGGACAGGTAAAGGAAGACCTCAATCTACATCACAGACAACCCCTCGAAAGGAAGGAAATGATACTGGAGGCCGTGATGTCTCCTTTCAGATCCTGATAAAAATAAATCCTTCTAATTTCACCACCCTCCCTCCCCAGAGCAGGAGAAAAAAAAAACTGAAAAGACCAAACCCCGTCCTGTACTTTAGGGATTGTAAATGGAGTGCCCCACAGCCTGCCTGCCCACTTGCCCCATTTACGGTGCCGGAATACAAAAGACCCCCTCTCTGTAGGAGCAATCACTCCGGGAGACCACTCTATCTACACTGCAGCAGCATCAGGTCTGAATGAAGCCGTCAGTGTGCCCTCTGTTGTCACACATGTGCATAAACTTACAAATACAAAGAGAGACACTCTGCGTGTAACTACCTATTCTTTGTACACTCTCTCTCTCACTCACACACACACACACACACACACACACACACACACAGACTGCTAATGTATTCTTTTCAAGCCTGCAGGGCTGGACAGAAGCAGGGAGGTAGATGAGTGGTTTGTGCTGATTTGAATATTTAAATTATTTATCACTACAGAGTATTGAGGGACAAGTCCTGCCAGGGGACGCAGGCATGTTTTGAATTAGTTTATATGCCGTTGTTTTGTTGCCAGTGGCCACAGGAGGGGCATTTACTGGCCGTATCTGGCATTAATTACTGTGTACGCTGTCAGTCAAGTATTGTAGTAAATGATGAATGGTGTGTATTTTTACTGCTCCATACAAGTCTATGAAAAAACCCACTTTTTATGAAATACTCCTAATACTCATGCACACACTCCAGCACACTAGGTGGTGGTATTGGGTGGTATTAGTGTATGAAAATAAGTAATATTTTCTTGAACAACTGCAAATGTATTTCTATATGGACACGCTGCTCTGCTTCACAGGTACATGTTTCCGTTGCTGTTAGCAAGTAAGCTAAAATGGTCATTCAGGACGAATAAAAGCAACGCTAAAACATCTAACATGTATTGCTGATTACCAAGTATCCAGGCCTCTGTGCTGCACAGATACACTGTATATTCTGTTACTGGGGCTCGGGCGGTCATGCAGTCACACATTTGATTCACAAAAGCCCACTACAATGAAACGCTCCAGAGGAGCTGGTAAACGGAGTGATGTAATGGAGTCATTGCATGCAAATATCAGACAAGGAAAATTTCCCTTTGGCTCCAGAGCCTGAGAAACACATACACAAACACACACACACACCACTTTCCTCGTCTTTGATGGAGAACAATCCCAGGAAACAGTAGGTCTCGCTAGAACTCACACAGTTGAAGAAGTATTAAATGAATGAGAAACTCATTCAGCTATGATTACTTTGACAGCGTATTTGTATGTTCACTGTCAGAGCCATTTTTTTCCACGTTTAGCCAGACTTTTGCTTTTACCCCGTCTGAAGTTTTATTTAAACCACTGAAGCCACCCACCATGGTTTGAGCACTAAGACACAATCAGTACAGAGGAAATATTTAACAGCTCCGTTTCTGAATCCTTTTGATTGAACAAACACTTGTACTATTAATTATCAGGGTCTGAAGCCAACATCTGACCAAAGTTGATGCTGTCATTGAAGCTAGGTTCCTATGGAAATCCAATGCTGATTCCAGTTCACATGTTCATATGTGGGTAGAAAAAAAAAACAGGCTTGAGGGAAAACAATGGCTTTGGGTTGTTATCGCTCTGCTTTTCTCCGCGTCTGTTGCACGTCTGTTCTCCTACATGGTTCTGACTTGTCGGCGCTGCCTTCCCATTCATCATTCTTAATTCCTGTGGTGAACTCATTTGCTGCCTTGTGTGCGCGCCTGTGTGTGTGCGTAGCCGAGTGTGGCTCATGTCCCCTGTAATGATCCGCTAATTATGAGAATCCACCACAGCCTCGGGGTGTGAAGCCACCTGTTCGTTTGTGCTCACACTAGGGACGCAAATTTAGTGCATTTTCATAAACTAATTCCCCTGAAATGGTGATTAGAAAGAATAGTTTAGTAGTTTTTCTACTTTCACATTTTATAAAATTGTAGCTCATTAGTTCGGTGGTATTAACTAATCACAGTTACGAAATAACTCCCCAAAATTAAATCTGGTAAATCCATTAATAAAGGAGAGTGGAAGTAAAACTAGAGTTACAGTAAAAAGTGAGGAATTCTGCAGTTATTTATTGCAGCTAATTTTAACAAAATACTCAAAAGAAGACATACTGTGGTTGTACGTGAATCAGAAAGGTATGTGATTTACAGGAGAGAAATTCATCTCTACATCTGTTTTACTGTAATGAGCCACAAGGAGCAGCAGTCTGGGTGTAGATTTTAGTGTTTTTCCCCCCCAGCTTTAGACATTTAACTTAAGCATCCACACGTAGAGGAGAAGATCTGCTGACAGTGATAATTAACGCAGTGATCGTTGGTGTCCAACGACAGATTATTAACGTCAGTATATCAGCCGATGTGAATCAAAACATCCCTCGTGAGCACAGGTGTCTGTCCTGCTGTGTTTTATATGAACGCTCAGGCTGTTCCTTCAATAACCCTCCCTGCAGACTGTTTATTGCATTTTCATGCTCATTGCTCCTGTCTGTTTAATTCCACTCACACACGGGTGATTAGGTTAGAGAAATAAAATATAATAACAAAAACCTGTGCTTTACTTCCAGTGTATAATTTGAGGTACAGGTGTATGATTAATTGAGGCAGTAATTGACATTAAAGTAATACTTTGACAATTGAGGCAGTAATTGACATTAAAGTACTTTGACGTGAATAACTATGACAGTTTTGGAAGGGCACGTAACGACTTCGTACGTTGTTATGTGTATTTTTTTTTTTTTACAGCTTGTGTCTGTGTCTTTTCTAGTCTAGCATTAAAATTGGTATTGTATGAACTTTGCTATCTTTTTTTTTTAACTGTCGACAACAGAAGAGAGAGAAAATATAAAATTCTCTTGGATGGTTTTCAAAGTATGGGGCACCAGAGAACTTCGAGGGGTCAAAAGAAAGCTAGCTACATTACATGAACGTTACACAGACTTGTGCTGGACATCAATACCTTGATAGTATCTGAAGACAATAATGAAATGGAATTCTCGTGACAGCCATTTGCATCCAAACCCTGCCTTAATTATCTTTTCTTTTCTTTTTTCCAGCCGAGCAATCAAGACCAACCAGGACCTTTTCCCTGAGACTCCATGGACCAACATTTTCTATGATGATTTCTGGGGCACTCTTCTGACCCACAGTGGCAGCCACAAGTCCTTCCGTCCACTCTGCACACTCTCTTTCCGCCTTAACTACACCCTACATGGCCTACGACCCTGGGGCTACCACCTCCTGAACGTCATACTGCACGGCATTGTCACCGCAATCTTCACAGCCTTCAGTCGGCCCCTCCTGGGTGGAGGACTGTGGAGTCTGCTGGCCGGTCTCCTGTTTGCGTCTCATCCCATTCACACTGAAGCAGTGGCAGGGGGGGTGGGGAGGGCAGATGTTGGAGCTGCCCTGTTTTTCTTGCTGTCTCTTCTCTGTTATGGGAGACACTGTGAACTTCGTCAGGAATTGTACGGGGCGTTCAAGTCCAGTAGATCGGATGGCGTCTCGGTCACCAGGTGTTGGGGTTGGATGCTGGGGAGTTTGTGGTGCGCAACAGCCAGCATGTTGTGGAAGGAACAGGGGGTGACGGTGCTGGCTGTGTCTGCGGTCTATGACCTCTTCATGTTCCAAAGACTCCGTCTTCGTCAGGCTCTTCTTCTCCCGTTGGGAAAGGTAAATAACTGCTTCGTCTTTTTGGTCAAAAGCTGTGAGCCACAATGAGTTTACAGCTATTGATGAGCCACAGCTTGGAGCTAATATTCCTTTAAAAATGTTTAAATGTCATACTTTATGTTCTGTACTGTAGAAGCAAAAAATATGGCCTACTCTTCAGTTTGTTTGCCAACAGCTAACCATGCTAACATTCGCTAAAGCAATGTGTCAAAGTGATCCAGCAGTTGTGCTGATAGCCAGCAAGTACCAAAATAGTAGAACATTATCTAATGTCTTGATTCCTATAACTTGCTACAATTCAGAATTCTTTAGTTCTCAATGTGTTTCCAACACAACAGAACTAAAGGCACATTTCAAATATTTTAACTTCCACACAGGAACTATTTTAGATGCTTGAATGTATATATGACCAAGGATTGATTCCTAAAATGACAACTTTTGCCCTCAAATTTGACACCTACATGTCACAAATCTGACATCACTGTTCTGTTTTAGCTTCTCTATATTTAGTTCCCTCACCCTCTTTAGATTAGATGCAGGTTTTAGGCAGGCAGTTGTAGGTGCTCCTGTTTGGTTGTTTACATCTTTGAACGCAACCAATCTTGTTCAAATACGTGACTTGTGTGTGCATTTTGTCAGGAGTGTGATCTAAATCTAGAAAATCTGCTCACTAGTGCCAACCACACAGGTGTCGTATAAGAACGGAGCAGTTTTCATTTGTCGTGAGCCAAAGACAAGAAACTGTTTGCAGAGAGCAACGGGAATCTTTCCACTTCCTTGCTACGCTGCCACCGACTTCAATTTGCTTCTGTAAACAGATGTGCATCAGGGCCAGCAGATATATAACATCGAAATGAACCCTTCAGTCTCCATATGTATGTGTGTGAGCACGTTCAATCGGCCACAGGCAATTGAGTAGAAAAAGCAATTTTCCGAGTGTCTTGAGGTGACACAAAGGTGTATACGCAAGAAGAAAAAAAGAAAAATAGAATAATTTTTGACAGGATCTTTGAACCATTTCACAACCGCACATAAACACCAACCGTGCTTCTCCTGCAGGAGTCAATTTTCCAAAGCAAACTAAAAATATGGGAGGAGGACAACCTTGGTGCAGTGAGGCATCAGATTATGGGAATCAGGGTTTGACTGGAAAATGTCTCCTAGCAGCACACTCCACATTTGATTTGAGAAACAGCTCCGCGGCTTCAACATGATGGCCCTCGTAAAATGTATAACTGGCGTAATAAAAAGTCCCCTTGGGTTTAAAGAGCAAGGACGGTCTGGCTGAGTGTGTGTATGTGTGTGTGTGTGTGTGCGTATAATGGTTTCTACTGGTGGAAACATCTATAAATACCGCTCTTTGTTGCAGGGGTTGTGATGTAATCACACAGAGTGCATCTTTTACATCATGTGGAAGTGTTGATGGTAACTTAAGCTGTGGTGGTGTCCAAAAAGTTTTCAAGAGGGGCCAGGTTCCAGGACGTATAAAAAAGGACCAGCTGCTCCTGTTGTGATTCTAAAGACTAGACAACTGGTTAGTCAGCCCCGAAGGTTACAAAAGGTCACGCTGATGATTTCACTAAATGCTCCTTTTAGATTATTAATGTAATTAGGTAAAAATCACCTAGATCTGGAAAGGTTGCTACGAAACAGCAGCAACTTTTTTCCAACAAGCAAAATAGAACACAACAAAGGCTACACAAAAAGAAACGACACAAACTGAAACACAGTACTATCAGCTAAAAGGAGGCTAAGAGGTAAGAAGACCGCAGTTTTCAACATTTATAAAAATACAAGATAATAGCCACAACAAAACAAAACACAAACAAAGCCACAAAACACAATATAAAAATACAAGATAATAGCCACAACCTAGCAAAAACATAAAGAAACGTGAATGGATGTCAGGCCACAAAAGTGTTTTTTGGTAAAAAAAAAAAAAAAAAACTTTGGCCAGATCAAATCTGTTCAGGTGCACTGATGGGGCCGCAAGCCAGATTTTGGACGGGCCTCCTTAAGCTCAGCACTCATGTACAAAACACAATATTTAATTTGATAAATTCAGTGAAAAATGTAGTTCTATAAAAACACATCCTAAATCTAATAACAGGTCCAAGTGCACCTGTGAGGAAGCTCCTCCAGGAGTTGTTTCTGGTCTTACAGTGAACGTCCCAGGGATTAGACCGAGCCAGTAGACCACAATGAGGGAGTAACGGTGTCTTTAGTAATCCTGCCTTGTCGCCAAGATTGGCTCACGCGTGGGCTTTTACAGTCAGTGGACCTCAGCAGATGCAACTCAACTCCTGCCTCTCTGACTGTACTGTCGTTAATCATTTCAGAGCAGCAACAGAATGTTACACACGTTTGTACAGTAATCACAACTGTGATAACTAAAATATATGATGCGAATAACAATCATGAGCCGTCTTTATGTCTATGTTTCCCTGTACAGCATGAAGGATTTCATTATCTGGACGTTGTCTTTATTGATGCCGAGACAAAGAACTAAGATTTTTTTAATGACTGCTTTAACGCACTTGGAGATACAGTATATTAAACCACAGACTATGGAGGAATCTAAATTAAATGAATACAAATTAAGCTTTGTATTACAGGATTGTGATTCACTGACCAGTCCAAGAAGTCACATCAACTGTTGGGGTGTAGAGAAATAAGAGACTGATTTTGACCAACTGAACAAAATTTGGTTTTACATTTAAACATATTTACTGAATTGGACGATTCTGCAGTTGTAAAGAACTGTGGGAAATCCTTTCTATTACAAGTCATTTCCATTGTTTGATCCACATCTGTGCACAGTCTAAGCAGACTCAACGGTTCAGAAAGGAACCACAACCTGAAATAGTCCATCTAGGATGAAGTGTTCCAATCTGTTGCATTTCTGGCGGCAAAGATTTCATCAGCCTTCGTGTGCTTGTCTGACTCTTTCCTGAAAAATAACTTTTCTCCCTGTGTATTTGAGATGCACTAGAGAAGGGAATACCACCAGGCAGTCCCCACCCCGGCGTCCAGACACAATGGTGCTGTGCCAGTCTGTCCAGTCTCACTGCCAGCCCCCCAGCCCCCTCCCTCTTCAGCTACTGAAAACACATCTGGCTCATTTATCACTCCAGCAGTGCCCTCATTTATTGCCCCAGCCTTTGTTATCTTGGCAGGGAGCTGGTTCTATGTGGGGGCCAGGCATGAGGGCAATTGTTTCCTTGATTTTGAGCCAGACGTCTCACGTGGAGACGTATGGGAACTGGGAAAAGTGAAAGAGGAACAAGTGAAAAGAGAGAGAGAGGGGAAACTATGCTCTCACTTCCTTTCCTACATCTTTTCCTAAGTCTCTGTCTCTCACCCGCTGTGTCCCATAAGCCACTGGGGCTCTTGTATCAAAGTGGACCAAAGCCGCTTTTGCTCAGAAGAGAAAATATTCATGTGGAGTTTCTTTTTTGTGAATTTGTAGCTGACAGGAATGGAAATTCTTTCTAAAAAAAAAAAAAAAGATAAATCACATTACCTGCGTGGCAGCCGTCACATGCTATAAGAAAATGCAAATGAGTTCTAGTATCGGAGGGGCAGATGCGATTCCACCGGCCCACAATATTTCGTCCTATTAGGCCTCTAATCAGACTGGGATGAGATTTCAAATGAGACGATCGAGAGAGGTGGGGAGTTCGGAGTTAGATGGAGACAAAGAACGGTGTAGCGTTAGCTCTCAGACTGAAAATGGCTTCCTTACAAGCACAGACCTTTATAATTTAGGCAGAGCCCAAAACGTCATTTGTATTTTCTGGATGCCTTTCCCACCAGTAAACAATCTGCATCTATAAGTGCTTTCAAGGGAAATGTTTTCCACCGACAAGTCATTATCATTCCTTTGTCCTTGAGAATGTGACACCACAATGTCCACTGTACTATATATACACGATACACAAATGGAAAAACACGCTTTTAAAAAAACATTTCAGATTCTAATAATCTGCTTTTCATAGATATTATTGACCTTTTTATAGACATCAGTAAATTTAATCCTGGAAGTCAGTCAAGACTTTTCCAAGTTTGCCCATTGAATTAAGACAGGAAGAGTAGGAGCTCATGAACACTGGACAATGAAAAGATTTTTACTTACTATGATCAGTTGTGGCGTTCCTTCATGGTTTCTTTCGTTCCCTCTGCTTCTTCCCCGCTGATTACTCTATAGGATTAAACCGCAGTCAGCATCCACTTCAACTGTACTTCTGTCACCCTGCATGTCTGTTTAACTCACTGCAAAGTAAAAATAAAAATTCACATATTTTACAATGGCAAAAAAAATCACTGAGCATATTTTTTCTTTTTTTTTTTTGTGCATGAAGCTAAATTTATCTTCAAAAATAAATATGGGGATATTTCTTAGTATTTCCAGTCCTAAAATCCACACATTCAGTGTTTCCATTGTGGTCCCTGAATTGTACACACATGCTAAATGAAAGATGGCATCATCTCACCTCCGGCACTCAGACAATAGAGGGATTTTATAATGTCCCAACCCATTTGCAGTTTAAGTGTTATGGACTCCACCATCTCCTCCTAATCGTTTGTCTCAATGAAAGCTGCAGGCCCTCACATTTACTCCTGTGTAACCAGCTTATGGCCTGAAAAATGTCGTGCCAGTTTTTTTCTCTCTAGCAGAAGTATTCGACCGTAAAATGATGCCCTGAACCACCACTTCTGCTGGATTTACTACACCCAGGATTTTTAAAACTTTTTTTCTCCTTAGCACTACATAGAATATAAGTATGTTTGCCTGCATTTTAGAATTTTTCTTGATAAGTTTTATAAGCTTTAGCTGTTACTGCCTAAATTGAGCATTTTTTGCTAACCTTTAGCTACATCTTTGGTTACATTGATATGTCTTGATTTGTAAAGATAAATACAATTTTTGACACTTTGGCTTGTGACATCCCAACAAGCTTTCATTTTCATCACATCACCACTCAGTCAGGCTATTTAAT